TGGATATATATAAGTGATTGTTAGCCATGATTTTTGGGATTGTAGGATCATTTCAAAATCATTTTAAGGTATTTGATATATATTTGTGATTAGTAAAATATATTTTCTATATTATCTCTACCGATAATATTGTGAACTTAAAGAAGTTACCCCTTTGCTTTCTGTACAATTATGGTAACAATATCTTTCTCAAATAACAAATTTTTTGAATTTGTATTCGAATTTTTATTTAGTCATCATTTTCCAACAAAAATACAAAAATACTAATAATAGTAACTTTGAAAATTTTTAGCGATATTTTAATAACATTCCAAGTAAATCTCTCTTTCTCTCTCTACTTTATAGTAATAGATTGTAAATATAAATTAAATATATATAATTTTCTATGAGATTAAACTTCAGAAGTTTGATTATCTTCAAAACACTTATATAATATATTGTAAACATAAATTAGATATATATAATTTACTATGGGATTAAACTAGAGAAGTGTCATTATCTTCAAAACACTTATCAAATACTGTAATTATAAATAAAATATATATAATTTGCTATGAGATTAAGCTTCAAAAGTGTTATTATCTTCATAACACTTGTTGCCACATTTTAAACAAGTCCTTAAAAACCGAGTCCTTCCGTAGTGCAAGAAGGCTCATGCTTTATGTTGAATGGTTTGTGCCCCAAGTTTGTGCAATGCATATCTTTATAATCGTAACTGAACCACGTTATTGAAAGAAGAACAGGAAAAACTACAACATAGAAAAATTCTAAATGACCAAGAAAACAGTTCACAACAAGAGTCTCAAATTATCCACGATATTAGAGTACCCTCCAAGCACTTCACACACTACCTGGTTCTTCTTTTCTTCTTTTCTTTTACATGTTCATTTTTCGGGGTCTATTTGAATTGCTAACCTTGAACAAAGAAATTAATCAAACATGGCAGAATAACAGATGTTTGTAAGGATAAAAAAGCTTGCACAAAAAAGCAAACAAGAATGTCATAATTTTTCAAGACCTAAAACACCACCTAATCGTATTGCCACCACAAAATTGACACGTCAAAATCCATAATCGAATTCTTGCGTGCAAGACAAATTAACAAGGTTGAAAACGGCAATATTTTAACGCTTTGGAGGTGCAAAGTGATTGTCGTTAGGATTCCTCTTGCCACTGAAAACAGCGAGTGCTTTCCGAACGGGAGGCTGGAAAGGAGCTTTTTTATCATTGTGGTGACGAAAAATGTCATCTGGAACAAAGAAGTCATCACCCTACGAAACAGATCATTCGAATCACGGGCTTGAATATATCGAAAGATAATGAAAGCATATTAAGTCTGTTAACGGCTAAGACACGTGAATACTAAATATCATTATAAGGGAAGCGAATGTAAACCTGCTTATTTTTCTTTTTTGTCTTGGGATAGAGATATTTCTGTGGAAGCTGATCTTCACGTAAAATCGGGTTCTTAGTAACTGCATCTCTACCACCTTGTGGCAAAGGTAAAGAGAACTGCAAACGCAACACATATAAAGAAATGAATTTTGCAGACAGCTCTAAAGCATCAGAGTAATTTCATGGGAGATATTACATTATATTAACAAATAAAAAGACAGAATCTACAAGTGACAAAAATAAATATGTTGATTGCTGAGGAACAAAATATTAAAGGTAAATAGAAAAATGCTTCCTTCGATATAGAAGAGGCATGCGGAGGAGAATGATACAAAAATGGATTTCCAAACCATAGAGATACAAAAGTAAAAAATCCAACTTCTAAATTGCAGCTCTAGTTTCATTCACACCAGAAAGTTTCACCCATAAATAATTTTTTAAATATAGCCAATGTCATAAACAGACTCAGTCATAACAAACAATGAATAAAAAAGTCATCCTTGCTTCAAAAGTCAATAGTACCTTTGTTCCGCGCAAGGATACACGAGGCCTCCGTGCAGCCAACATAATACCATTCTCATTAACTGTAACAGCAACTTTACGTAGTGTGCCCCCATTCCCACAAGAGGGGCAGAAAATTCTACCACTATCTGTAGTCACCTTAAAGCAAGCATGGCATTTCAGCACCCACCTAGAACCAGAACAAAGATACCAGGAGAATAAGAATCATTAGGTGGTCCAGCATTAGAAAAAATCCAACATACATAACACAAAATTATTTGAATTGTCAGCGGTGGCCAAGTAAACAATTGAGAGAGACTCGAGCAAAGAAAATGAAACATCTATCAAAAAGTTCAATCTCAAACAAAGTATATGCACACAAATAACAAACCATACCAAAAGGTGTTTCTTTTGGAATTAAAAATGTGCAGTAACCCAGGTACAAAAGTATATGCACACAAATAACAAACCATACCAAACGGTGTTTCTTTTGGAATTAAAAACGTGCAGTAACCCAGGTACAAAAGTATCAATATGCAATAACTGATTTAGTAGACGAATAGAGCGTCGTAATGTCTAAAAGGTTCAGATTTACTTCCTCCACTTTAACTCTACAAGTGTTTGAAACAGCTTGAGGCACGAACAAAATGTAGTAGAGCATTCTATTAGTTCGTATGTATTGACTTTAATTGCATTCTTTTTCTTTTTGACTTTTTTATGTTATATTAGTTCTAACAGATCTTGTACATGACTTACTCTTCCTATTTAACTTCATTGTTCATTAGCCAATTGAATTTAGAGTCAACCAATGTATACCTGTGGAGCTCACGAATCTGCATCCCACCAGGAGCCAGGAGTCGCAAACCAATCTGAAGCAGCACATTTTGCATGGCAAAATCAGTAGTCACACAAGCCACGCTAGACTCAGACAAAGATCTAAGCGACCAGCTCTGTTCACTACTCATATCATCCACATTCGACGCATCGTCATTTTCTTCTAATTGGCCAAGCATTTCTAAGTCCCCCAGCTCTTGTTCAGTGATTTCAACATAGTCTCCCTCTACATTGCCAGTTGAATCAGTTCCCTCGGGAGCATCATTTACCTTCTCACCAAATTCAGAGGACTCCAAATGCTCTTCACCCAGTTTCATTGTCTTCAGACTCTCAGAGATATTAATCTCTCCATTCTTCTTATTGCCAATCATGTCATCCTGAACTATGGCATTTGTCCTTTCTTCGTAACTTTCATCTACTAGAAGCTCTGGACACTGAGCATCATCGAGATTTTTATTTTCCACATTACAGGACGTGTTTTGCTGATCATCTGAAGCAGATAAGGCTTCACTCATTTCACGTCTAGCTTTCCTTCTAAGAAACCTTCTGTGAGTACTTCGACTCACGGCAGGTCGCCAGTCATCAGTGTTGTCATCAATTTGGCCTTGTGATGCATCAACACCATCGGCCACCATCTTTTTCCCCTCGATTTTTACCTCTCTCTTCTTTGGGGAGTATCTCTTGGGTTTCCTGAAACCATCATCAAGCTTCTCAACATTCCCATGGTGCGACTCACTGCCATCTTGAACGGAACCATCTTCTGGGGAAGGTTCATCAATGGAATTCACACCAAGTGTCAAATTTTTTAGGGGTAAAATCCTAGAATTGAGGTTTGATTCGTTTTCAAAAGCATGCTCTAGGGCTTCCCATTCTTCGAGATTTGGGACATTAGAACCCCATCCAGGCAAGTCTTTTTCAGGAAGCCTTTTGACATTAACTGTATGAATAGGAGGTGGGCTGTTCCTGAGATGTTGAGTCCCGTGAATTTGGGCTTCTAACGTGTAAGTCAAAGCAATTAGCTTCAGGTCCACATCTGAAAGTGTTTGCAAGTCACCAGTAGCCTTTGCAAAGCTGATCACTGTAGAACAATGAAACAAGTAACACGGTTAAGATATCACTACTTTAATTTTAAGTAGGTCCAATTATTGCTAGTAATGTCCTGCACAAAAAAAATTGTTATTATTATGGGCAACCTAGCAGCCAAATTCATTCTACTTCTATTGCAAATTACATCAATTTCAACGTGATTTGCGATGAGAGCAGCAACATGCCCAAAAAAAGTCTATTTCATTGACAGACACTTAATAATAAGAGTATGGAAAAAAGCGAATTCTTTGAAGGAAGTATATATTATTCGAAGAAGTATCAAATTCTAAACAATGTGCATAGTAGCTAAGGTACTCAGTAAGAGAAGCCTTCTTATTTCCTTAATGTGTACACTTCCCACTTGCTTCCATTTTGCAGTGATAATAAGAACCAAACGAGTCTTGATGCAAACCCAAAATGATATCTCATCTATTATAGCTTAAGATTACACACGAATAACTTAACTATAAAAACTGCTGAAATGTTCCTCAACAAGACAAATTAAAAAAACAGAATAAAACAATCTGATGAAATGCGAGCACTTCAAAACCTACAAGAACCAACGTTCAGAAAAGGAAATAATGAAATACAACCAAAAAAGGCTACGAATATACCTTTCTTCAAAGCATCAGGGGAAGGTTCGAGAGTATCAACTGCGAACGGCAGAACGCTGAGGAAATGGCGGGAAGCAGGGTCGCGAATTTCGCTGATGACCTCGGCGACGGAGACGAATCGGTCCGCGGAGTGGAATAGCCTCTCGCCGCCCTGGATTATGGCGTTGGCGTCAACCACCGCCACCGCAATTCCTTTGGACGATTTGCAGCTCCCCACCAGTATTCCGCCTCTTTGGGCGGAGGGAAGGGGTTGATGCTGTGGCTGCGGCTGTTGTTCTTGCCGTTCGGGTTGCTTTTTGAGGACACTGCTCCAACAAGGCGGGGCAGCTGAGGGAACTTGGACCTCCATGACGGTTGAGCAAAAAAAATGGTGCGAGGCAGCAAAACCCTACAAAAGAAATAAGGGTTTGACGAAACGACGTCGTTTATAGTCCTTAAAGCAATTTATTTAGGGCTAGGTTTTAGAAAAAAAAAAACCAAAATGTTTCAATATTAATATATGAAAAAAGTGAATTTTTTTTTTTACAATTTTCTCGGAATTTAATTTTATTTTATTAATGGGATAAGGTAACCATCTATCCACATATACATTCTCGATTTTAGTTAAAATTGGATTAGATTTTTCGTCAATAATTCATATCAGATTTGGTATGCAACCACCTCGATCTGGCTTGCACGACTCAGATTTACTTTTTGATCTTCGTTTATAGTCCGTAAAGCAATTTATTGAGGGCTAGGTTTTAGAAAAAAAAAATGTTTCAATATTAATATATGAAAAAAAGTGAAAAAAAAAATTGTTGTGAAAGATCAGGTATTAGGGGTGCCCTTCTCAAAAGGATTCTAAAAGGTGGTTCAACATTTTCAAGTTTAGCTCCAAGAGCCAAGACAAATAAAATATGAATAACCTACAATGAGGCAAGTTTATGTTTTAGCTAAGCCAAAATTTGAAAATTGATATGGTATAATTAATAAATTAATTAGTGGTCATTTGAGAGAAGAAAAAATATTTGAAAAATTATTTAAGAAAAGATAATAATTTGGAAGTGTGATTGATTATATGATGAAAATAGAAGAATTAAAGATGATGTGATGTAAATTAATAATATGATTAGTTGTAATTAGAAGTTAATTGTAGGAAAAATCATGATATTTTCATAATTGTCGATAATTTTTTTTATTTTTTAATTTGACATATTAATATAGGACTTTTAAATTTTGTTCCATATCCAGGCATCAAATTTAAATTAGGCTTTAATTTACTTACACGAACTATTTATATGTACACACGGCTTTTCATCATAAATAGTAATTTCAAAATAAATTACCATATTTTTAAAATTTTCAAATTTAAACAAATCTTTTTTATTTTAAGTTTGCATATAAATACATGGAACATTTATTTATTTATTTTTATTAATATTTTTATTATTATTTGCATTGGGACTTTTCATCTTCAACATCATCATTTAATGGAATTTTTATGATAAAGCACATTTGAAGCTGGAATGTTCGATGAATCTCCTTGGAAGCCAAAATTCAAGCTAATTTAGCTTACATGAACTCAACATTTTTGGCCAACATGAAAATGAAAACCAAAGAAACAAAAACATATGATGCAAAACACATACACATACACATACAAGGCACATACAATCTTTATGGAAGATTCATCGTATTTTTGGAATTCATTTGTATATGTTAGTCAATTTCGACACTAGACTTTTTNAACTACTACAGGCAGCTTGAATCCATCCTCAACATGTCAAGAGAAGCTTAATTAGCACTGGCAATACATAATATTACCCTACTCCTTTATCTTCACTGACAGTTAAGGGGTGACCTGGTAAGAAATCCTTTGTCCATCAATCAGCAGCACTAAGTGGCACTCCTTAGGGGCAGGTTCCATTACCAAGGTCAGAAAATTCTAGCCATGCCGCTGTAGCTTGAAGAACTATGTGTAGCTCAGAGGTGTTTTTTCTTTGAAACATCCAAGAATTTCGAGTTTTCCAAAGCCACCACATAATATAAGTGGATAAGGAAACTCTATCTTCCCACGAGGCAGCTCCTTTCATTAAACACAAATTTTCCCACCAGCCTTGAAAAGAGACACTCTCTTCAGCCAAATAATTCCACTGTAAGCCAGCAAGTTTCCATACTCTTTGAGCTCTAATGCAGAGAAATAGAATGTGCTCAACAGATTCCTCAGATTCACCACACAATTCACAAATAGTATCAAGACAAAGCCCTCTGGATTTTAACTTGACCTTACAACTCAGAAAACCAAACCAACATCTCCATACAAAATTTTTTATTTTGTTTTGAACAGGAAGATGCCAAGTAACTTGCCATACCTTTTTTCTTCTCGCTTTGCCCACACTTGATTCAGCAGTGACTATAGCCAAGGAATGATTTTGCTGCTGTTTGGATAAAATAGCATTATACGCATCTTTCACTGTAAAAAGACCTTTCAGATTTTGATGCCACACTAACTTGTCATTGGGACCACGTGTACTAATTGGAATTTTGAGAATGCTGTGAGCATCAGTTGGCCTAAAGGTCTGCCTGATAAGGTCTTCATCCCATTGTGTGCCACCTGCATTCATTAAGTCTGAGACCAAAATGAGATTTTCTTTATCAGCAGCAAAACAACATTTTGGAATAAAGTCAATTGCTTCTGGAACCCAGGGGGAATTCCAGATAGAGATAGCTCTGCCATTGCCTACTTGAAATCTCAGACCCAATTTTAATGATTTTCTAGCCGCCAACCAAGATTTCCACAACCATGAGTCAGAGCTTTTCAAGGAGATGTCAAAAATATTCTGATTATGAAAATATCTTCCTTTAATAAGCTGACTCATAAGCAGGTTTGGCTGAGTTAGTACTCTCCATAGCTGCTTAACAAGAAGAGCTTCATTAAAAACAACTAAATTTCTGAATCCCAGCCCTCCATCTTCCTTAGGCAATGAAAGAACATCCCATTTTGCCCAGTGGATCTTGTTTTTCCCATCCTCATTCTGCCCCCACCAAAAGTTGGCCACTGTCTTACAAATGTCAGAACAAATACCAATGGGGAGTCTAAAGCAGGACATAACATAAACTGGAAGAGCATGAAGGACAGTTTTAATCATAACCTCTTTTCCCGCTTCACTCAAAAATCTGTTTTGCCAATTTTTAATTCTAGAAATAACACACTCACTCACAAATTTAAAAGTATCTCGTTTAGAAATTCCAATTCCAAGGGGGAGTCCCAGATACTTAGAAGAGTTTACCACAGAAATACCTCTGAACATTTGACATATTTCAGACTTAAGAGAGTCAGGAGAATTCTTAGAGAAAAGAATACTAGACTTATTAATATTTACCTGTTGACCAGAGGCAACACAAAATCTATTAAGCAGACTAACAAAAGAGCAAACTTGCTGGGGAGATGCTTTACAAAAAATAAGAGAATCATCAGCGAAGAAGAGATGAGTAATAGGGGGAGCATACTTACTAATTTGCAGTCCCTGGAAAGAAGATGAAATGCAAGCTTGCTTAATGAGATTAGAGAATGCTTCAGAGACAATTATGAATAAATATGGAGATAGAGGATCTCCTTGCCGGAGACCCCTAGAAGGCTGAAAGAAACCTTTAGGCTGACCACCTAAATTAAAGGAAAATGAAGAAGAAGAAATACAAACCCAAATCCATCTAAGAAATTGAGAGCAAAAACCCATAGCAACACAAACTTGAATAAGAAAAGCCCATTCTACCCGGTCAAAAGCTTTGGCCATATCGAGCTTCAAGGCCATGAAATATTTTTTACCTTTTCTCCTACTGTTAAGAAAATGGACACACTCATTAGCAATGATAACATTATCTATAATCTGTCTACCCGGGACAAAAGCGGATTGAGCAGGGGAAATGCAAGCTGAGAGGACATTCTTAAGCCTATTAGCCAAAATTTTAGATATAATTCTATAAAGAACAGGACAGAGGCTAATAGGCCTATAGTCATTGACAGTCTGGGGAGATCTGGACTTAGGGATGAGAGTGATTATGGTATGATTTGTAGCCTTAGGAATTTTGCCTTTCTTAAAGAAGTTAGAAATAGCCAGATATAAATCAGATTTAATCAAATGCCAAGAGGATTGAAAAAATTTAGGAGAAAAGCCATCTATACCTGGTGCCTTGGAAGGATCCATATCCCACAGTGCTGCTTTGATCTCCTCTTCATCCACCTCTCTTGTGAGTTCAAGATTCATAGTATCAGTGATAGATTTTTGAATTCCAAACAAACAAGAAGTGTCCTGCGCAGGATGTTCAGATTGATAAAGCCTTTGATAATGGAGTAACAATTCTTCAAGAATTTCCTTAGGAATTCCAAATCTTAATATTTTTTTTAGAATCTTGGTGTTTTATTTTGATTTTGATTTTGATTTTTTTAGAATTTTGATGTTTCGTCATACTACATCTTCTCGACTCTCGTGTAGCATCTTTTGCAAAATTCTATACCAACTAATAAATATTAGTTTATCCACGATCTCATGTGAATTTGAACAGCGTGACAATATCATCCGGTCACTCAATCGTTGGAGTTTATCGCTCTCTAAAGATCCAACAACATGGAAATAAAGAGATGCAAGGATTGTGAGGTTGCAAAATGTTATTAATAATTTATTTGCGGGACGAATTTGAATATGAGTTCGCAATTTGTTCTTATGGTAGTCTAATTACTAGATCACATAACAAAACAATAAATCAAGTTTGTAAAGGTGTCCAATTAAATAATATGGTATTTAAAATTATGATAATTCATAATGTTTTATAAGGATATAATTTAATATAATAATATAATTTATAAGTTCAAATTAAATGAAAGTCGGTAATACATATAGGACAGTAAAAATAATGGTTAATTAATTTGATTGCGTACCAAGTAATCTACTCTATAAATTTAGTTATTAAATATCTATAGTAATATAAAGAGGTTGATGGAAAAATACAAAAATAGTAAGGTTGACTTAAAAAAATAATGCTTTGACTTGCTAATTTAAGTTTACTCTTAAGGTTGATGGATCAATTAACGTTTGTTTAAATTTTGTTCCATATTGGCTCGGTCAATTATAATTACTATAATTGCGGATTTTGTTAAAAAAATTAAGTGATTTTTATCAACGTACAAAAGATGCTGATTTTGTTAAAAAAATGTCCCGATTTTGTTGATAAAATGTTCCGATTGTCTATCAATAATGCTGATATTGTTCCAATTTTTTTGCGATTTTACTTACCAAAAAACAGAATAATGATCCAATTCAATTTGTAAGCGGATTCTATGAGAATTTCTTGCGATTTTCTTGCACAATATAACCGGATTCTATGCGAATTCAATTGCTTTTCAATTGTAGGCGTA